CCTGCCCAGGAATCTGGGAGAATTGCCCCATCTAATGCAAACACAGCATATGTAATCCAGTCACATCTGCAAACACCTTTTCCCAAATAAGCTAGCATGCACAGGTCCTGGGAAGCAGGACCTGTATCTCGGGGGGTCATTTTCGGTCTAGTGCACTGACAGTCTGCAAAAGCCCCTAACCCAGCTCTCCTCCAGAAGATAACTCATCAACCTCCTTCTTCACTTTTCTTTGTAGGTTTGGCATGCAGCCCAAGGCTTGGAACGGGTGGGAAGTGGTTAAATGTCTGCTGGGTAGATTGACGGATTAAGCAGCAGGTAGGGAAGGAAGTGGGATGGGGGCATGAATGCAGACTCTGAAAGCGGGTAGAAAAAATCCGAGGGCTGAAGTGTGGGAGGCATCTTTAGATGTCACATTAAAGAGTCTGGGCACTGTCCTGATGACAAGAAAGAGCTCCTTATGAGGTCCTTGCATAGGGCAACTTGTTCATTTGTTCATTCATTTGTTCGTTCGTTCATTCATTCATTTATTCATCCATCCAAGCTCAGGGCTTGGCTCTGTGGGGGAGGGAAGACAGTCTTCCTGCCCTACACACTCACACATATGCACACACACACACACATTATAAAGACAGAGAGAAAAAGATTTATTTTAAGCAATCAGTTCATGCGATTTTGGGGGCTGGCAAATCCAGTTTGCAGGGCAGGATGGCAGACTGGAGACCCAGGGAAGAGTTGATGTTGCAGCTCAAACCCGAAGGCCACCTGCCAGCAGAATTCTGTCTTCATCAGGGGACCTCAGTCTTTCTTTCTTAAGGACTTCAACTGATTAGATGTGGCCCACCCACATTGCAGAGAGTAATCGGCTTTACTCAAAGTTTACTAATTCAAATGTTACTCTCATCTAAAAGGTATCTTCAGAGCAACATCTAGACTGGTGTTTGACCAAAGCTAGGTACCATGGCCTGGCCACCGTGACATATAAAAGCACATCACATGGGGCACCTGGGTGGCTCAGTTGGTTAAGCGACTGCCTTCGGCTCAGGTCATGATCCTGGAGTCCCTGGATCGAGTCCCGCATCGGGCTCCCTGCTTGGCAGGGAGTCTGCTTCTCCCTCTGACCCTCCCTCCTCTCATGTGCTCTCTCTCTCAGTCTCTCTCTCTCAAATAAATAAATAAATAAATAAAAATCTTTATTAAAAAAAAAAGCACATCACATAAAATACAGCACATCAGAGCCGCTGTATTTTCTGGTACATTCAGATTTATGATTATTGAATCTTTGTGGATTGTACTTTGCATCATTACGTAATATCCCTCTTTGTTCCTGTGAATGCTTTCTGCCTTGAATTCTTCCTGATGTAATACAAATTTGCCATTCTTGTCATTTTTTAATTTCAATTTTCAAACATTGTGCACTTTGGGCCTCTATTTCTCATCAGTTTGGAGGGCATTTCTTGTAAATTGCAACTTTATTGGATTTTTATTTTTACCCCAATCTTATAGGCTTTTGATGGGAAATTCAGCCCATTCCCATTGTATACGAAAGCCAATATGTGCGGTTTTATTTACTTTGCCTCACTTTGTGTTTACTTGGACTGAACTTTGTTATTGCTATCATTTCTTTCTTTCCTCCTTCCTTAATTTTGCTTCCCTGTTCACTCTCGACACCCTCACCTGCTCCCCCCTCCTGCCTCTTCCAGCTCCTGATAGTCATAATTACACCGATACTCCCTTGTGAATGTAGGAAAAGTAAGCAGTAACAGCACCCCCCACAAGATTCTTCCTTTCCCACCCCTCCTGCTCACAGCAGAGCAAGCCCTTTGTCCAAGCCTCTCCCTGCCACCAGATGCGAGAACATCCCTCCGACCTCTCCAGGGCCCGTTGCTCCTTCAACTCCGGGGGTGGCTGAGATTGATTCTATGTTTACTCCCAGATGAATACGGGTTTCCCTTACAGTATGGGGCACAGATTTCAAGAATTCTTACTTAGCAATTATCGTACAAAATCCCAGGCATATTTAGATTAAATCGAGCATTTTGCAGGGGTCACTGCCCACCAGCATTTTCTGTTCTCTGCTTCTGTTCTATCTTGAGATCTCCGCTGTACTTGAATTGTCTTAGTGAGAGGGAACCTTCTGTGGATAAAAGGGACCCTCTGTGCATCTTGCCGTGTGGGGTATTTTCTTTCTTTTTCCCCAGCAGAATTCCATCATAGCAGGGGTAGTGTTCCTTGATCAGATCATCACAGTCCCTGGAAGTTGTTCCGAGGTCCCCTAAGAACTGGCACTATGCTGGTTCTCCTGCCTTCACCTGGGACTAGTTCTTTCTGGAACTCTGCTAGCTATGGTCTCCCATTCTGGGCCTTGGAGCCTTCACCGCAGAGCTTCAGCCCAAGACATTTTCCTCTGGAAATTTCCTTGTTTCTTTCACTGCTGTCTGCCCACCAACTCCTTCTGGTGCTCCTGAGAGGTGGGTGCTCTCCCTCCTGGAACTGCCCGCAGCCTCTCGTTTTCTCCCAGAGGATTTTCACGTGTTTTTCCTCCACCCTGAAAGGCATTTGCTCCATGTTATCTTCCTGTTGGCTCATTTTCTTCGCCCTGATGGTTCTCCTTCTGAATCTGCCAATGATTTTCAAGGTCTTTCGCTCCATGGAGTGCCTCCAGGCTGGGCCCCGGCTGCTCAACCCATCCTCGTCCTCTGCTTATTGAGTCCCCTTGAAGGGGAGTGTCTTGGCTTCTCTGTGATCGTGTGTCAGGCCCGTAAGGACCAGGCTATGGTGGTCTCCTTGGTGGTGGCCAACCAGCAAGGGGGTGAATGACGAGTCATTTATGTTCTTGTAGACAAGGAAGACAGTGTTGGCAAGGTGTTCCCATGTCCCTGGAGGAGGCTTGTCTGCTCCCAGCCTCCCAGGTGCGAGGATGGCTGCTGGCCCCAAGGGTGGGCTGCACAGGCCTTTCAGGTCTGCCCCCATCCTGCCAGCTGATGGAGAGGACAGGTGGTAAAGAAGGTAGGCTGGAAATAGAAGAACTCATCTCATCAGTTTTCAAAGAACCTAAGAAGCCCAATAGATGAATCAGAAAGTAGGTGCTTTTCAAATTAAGAAACATGAGGGGTGCCTGGGTGGCTCAGTCGGTTAAGCATCTGCCTTTGGCTCAGGTCATGATCCTGGGGTCCTGGGATCAAGCCCAGGGTCAGGTTCCCTGTTCAATGGGGAGTCTGCTTCTCCCTCTCCCCCTCGCCCCAATTCATGCTCTCTTGCTCTCTATCAAATAAATAAATAAAATCTTAAAAAAAAATCAAGAAACATGAAAAGTTTAGCCTCATTAGTTAGCATGGAAATGCAGGTTACGAAGGCCATTTTTCATTTACTGTAGTAGGAAAGGGGTTAAAAAGGTAGTTCCCCATGCCAGTGTGTACCCCTCAGATGTGAACTGGAAACAATATTGAGAAATCTGTTTTGTAAAAATGTATCTAGAGACCTGAAAGAGCCTACCAGGATCAGTGCTTCTGTTTCTAGGACTTGGCCCTAATTAAACAGGTATGTGCACACACTTGCAGTGTGAACACAGGGACCTTTGGAAACCCCTTCTTCAATATGCATAGATCCCAACTCATGAACAGTAATAGTCTTTGAATGATTTTTTCTTCTTTCTACCTTTTGTAATTCTCCAAATTTTCTGTAATAAAAACATTATAAGAGGTGAAAGATTTCTGTGTTGCATTGGGCAAATAACTACCCATGTCTGAACTTCAATTTTCTCATTGTTAAAACAAGCCCCATGCACTCATTAGGGGTGCAGTGAAAACCTCAATGTATGAAAGCCCCCCAAAACTGAACCTGGGGCCGAGCAGGTGCTGCTCTGTGCCCATTTCCTTCCTTCCCCTGTGAGCCTCACAGCCTTAGATGAGACGGGGTAGCCCCGGGGGAGGGGGCGCAGCTGAAGAATCAGATGAGGTGATTGGTGTGAATCACACAGCTTTGATGCAAGTCCCCAGGGCTGTGTGTTCAGTATATAGAATCCATCTCCAAAACCATCTGGGATCTTTGCTCCCCACATGTTGGTAACATATCTCTGGCAGCCACTCTGAGCCAGGTTCTGTCATGATGACCAGGACAGGCATCCCAGGTTGGCTAGGAGGACCAGACACAGAGCAGACACAGCCCAGGGGGGGTCACGGGCCACGACCTCACATTCCCAAGGCCCTGACTTAAGGATAGACCCTTCCCCTCATCTCCAAGCTGCACCTCCTCAGACACAGAGGTGAGACTGAAAGAAGAGCGTTTCCAAACTGCCTGAGCCTTGCATCAGGGCTGATATCTTTTCTTAAACGAATCCCATAATTACCTCGTGAAAAGCGTGCGACATTGCATTTAATTTCGTGCATTTAAAGCTGCACTTGGTTACTTGTACACATTTAAATGGGCCATATTTGTCTATCCCTGTATCAGGAGAGCCCTCTCTGTCTCTGGCAGGGCTGGAATTTAGGGGTCTGGCGCATAGCAGGCACTCAATTGTTAGTTAATATTGCAATAGCAACGCTTATGAATCTGAAGTTGGGGACCTTGGGGCCAGAGTGGTGGGTGAAAGGTGGCCCGCGTCTTGTCCAAGGGTCCAACCACCTGTTGACAGAGAGGCAAGGGGCCTCCCTCTGCGATGGAATGCCTTGTGGGCGTGGCCCGGCGGGGCGG